AAATGTAATATTGACAAGTTTAGAAAAGCCCTGACGGGCAAGAAGAGGACACATCTAACGTATTCAATTTTTTCCAGCAAATGACAGATATTTGCACTAAATTTCCACAAAACACACACGCTGAACAAAAACCAAACACAGTCCTTGTAAGGGAAACATTAACTTGAATATTTGCAATATGTCCACAACACTGTAAACACAGCACGAGACAAGAAGCAACTAATAACATTAGCAGACCGCTCTGTGTAAGCATATATAACAATTTATTTTTTGGACTGAAAACATTCCTGGTTGGTATGTACAGAAAAATAATTTTGGGCTAGGGAGTATCAAAAAGGCTTGTGTAGCAGTCGGCTAATTTGTTAATGCTGGGGTTGTTTCTTATGTTTGTACATTTATCAGGCCTCAGTCACACAGGCCTAGAAACCACTGTTTCAAGGGAATAATGTGTAATTCCCCACCAAGTGGGTGGATTATTGCTGGAGGTTGCTGGTCGCTGCACCAAAACACTCCATGCAGTTGCTAACAGTTTGTTGCGGTCACCCATAGTTTGCATAGAATATGATAAATTTTCTTCAAATGTTTGCCAAGGACTCGCTGAACAAGTGTGAAACTTGAAAAATGGTGACACAGATTGGAAACAGACCGCTTGTCTCCAAAGCCAGGGTTGTGTCTCACCCCTGCAGCTAACATGTTTTGAAGGCGCAACTTTTACCTTGAAGGCGAGTCCTTTCTGTTTCCAGTTTGCAATGGACTTTTTGCATTTCTCTATCATGTATCAAAACAGTTGGCGATGTAAAACAAGTTGTCATTTACATGCAAAGTGGCCAATTAAAACAATCACAAGGAGGTTTTCAGTGCACCGTCACATAACTCTTTGTGACCAATTACCTGTAGCAACTGCTACTAGCAACCACTTGCCAACCGGTTGGGGAATACATATACAAAAAGCAACACCAATGAAAAATATATGATGTCTACTCTTACCACAGCGTAACGTCAAACAATTATAGAAACAAAACAGAGTGCCAATGGGGAGCAAAAAACCAGAGAGTAGTGACAGTTATCAAGCAGTGAGCGTAGACAGGGATTTTCATATTAGATGACTCTCTGACCGTCGTTGTAAGGGAGCTTTTTTCAAAAAAGAGAAAACAGTGGTTTGACAACACGGTTGTACCTTCGACATTTACTTGAAGAACAATTAGTGATGTAATGTTGAAAAACCTTGAACAACCTATGAGCACAGAAGCATGTTTTTCACAGAAGTACTGCTGACCTTGTACGTTGGTCATTCACGCTGTCAACAATATGCTTAAAAAAGTGGAGAAAACATAGCTATGCCTTACAACTTCTATTAAACAATGAAGATTTAAATAAAATGAGGCATGAGGAAAAAAATTCAAATGGATTTGTTAATATAAAGAAGAGATGCTGTGGCTGGGAGAAATTCCAACTTAAGTAATTTGCACAAGACTTTCATTATGTTCAAACCTTGTGGGATTGAGAGTTATCCCCCAGCTTCTATGTTTTGCCAGAAGTGCATTAAGGGCAAAGATTAGATTAGTTTGCCCCGAGATTGAATTGGACATGCCTTAGGATTTTACTGCTGTGATACACAAATAAAGCGTGATACAACATTGCTAGGGGCTTAAATGTCAAATGCATGCCAGAAAAAATTATGAGCATAATGAAAGCACTGCCTACAGTAACACAAATTTGCAAAGTACCTCAAAACATTGATTTGATTTATTTAGGAGGCGCAGTTTCAACAAACATTACAAAAACTACAATTTCATGCCAAGCAGAGGTCAAAGAATTTAGAATTGGTGCATGAAATGTTGATAACTTAGATTGTAAGACAAAATGTGTATCTTATTTGAAATTATGTGTATATATAT